TGGGGAGGATTGGAGACGCGGGGGCATGTCGCTGTGGTAATGTTGACATTATGACGTTAATTATTTCACATACATTACAAAAATATTATTGAGGACATGTAATAATGGCTAGCTAGCAATTTGCCGCTGCAATTGTTTTCCTGATAAGTGTAAGCATGACAAATCAGTTTACAATCTGACTATATCACTGACGTAGCGGACAAACAGATGCAACAGAGTTGACAATTTACTTCGGATTATAAATTGTGATGAATGAAATAAATAATCTGTAATATGCTGCTGAATTGTCTTTCTGATAAAGGCTTACATGTTGCTGAAATCAGAGACAGTGGTAATTCAGTGCAGATTAGCCGAGAAAATTAATGCTGCTGAAAGACATTACAAAGATGGACAGAAACGTAAAACATAACATATGCATTCATGGGTCTCAGCTTAATGTGGGCGGGATACAGGTAGTGGGCGTTTATACCACATGTAAAGCTCACGAGTGAGTGAGTGAGTTGGGTTATTCGCCGCTTTTAGCAATATTCCAGCAATATCACAGCGGGTTACACAAGAAATGGGTTTCACACAATGTACCAATGTGGGGAATCGAACCCTGGCCTGATGAGCGAAGGCTTTAACTACTGGGCTACCCCACCGCCCCGTAAAGCTCACGAGCAGTGGCAAGGTAATGACAGACTAAGGATAACATCAATTAGGATCGAATCGGTTATTCGAACGCACGATCAGCGGATCCTGGAAAGGCTAACTGGCGCAACTCGTCACAGCAAGTCGCCGCGCATAAGTATGCATAAGGAGAAGAACAAGTAGGTGAGCAGTGCACCAAAGCAAGCGAACTCTTTCGGATTTCATTTAGCGTCTTGTGAATTTACAGCCTGCTTGACTGTAAGCTTGGCTCATGGGTTAATCCAATAAGCCAACACTTTGCCCCTCGTCCAAAATGTATTGATCTCGTTTACCAAGTGCCCGAGTGTTACCGTTACGCACATGTGTAAGAGTCTATAATAACTGGCATGTCTGGATTGCTGCAGATACAGGTCAAACAGAACCTGGACAAATATATACGATACAGCACATTAAGTCTATGATATATGAGATGTCTGCAGTTTCTTGTCGTACAGACCCTGAATAAAATATCAGGTTCATCTTATTAAGTCTATAATATATGTCACGTCAAACAAATTAAATATAGCCAATTCATCTTATAAAGTTTGTAATATAGGACACGTCTAGATCACTGCACTTCACGTTCATACAGTTATGCATTTTATGTTTTTTTCGTTGCATTTATGGGTAAAAATGAATTATTTCTACATTATTTGGCAATGGGAGGGGAGGGTGTGTATTTTGGTAAAGAACGTAGGGTAATAAATATTCCTGTCACACACACATTCATTGACATATCAGTGTTAGCTGATGATAATCTTTCCTTGTAAAAATACAAGCAGGTTTAGCAATGTAGATTTGTTTAGTCTCTGAAAATAGAGAAAAGGCTCTTTTTTCATCAAGATAATCTAAGAATTTATTTAAGAGACTAGATGTTGGTGTAAACCAGAACAATACGTTAAAACATCCAGCTTCTCATTGAGACTTTCCCCGTGAAGCAACAGGTCCACGTAGGACCATATCAACAGGCAGGCACGAGCAGTTACACGAGAAAGTGTAATCCTTCTTCATGGCTGATAAATTTATCTACGTCACAGGTCAAAGGGGTTTCGCCAACACAGAACGCTTCTCAAGTGGTGATTCGGAAGGTGTCGTGATTTGTGGCTGGATCTGACCAATGTTCTGATCCTAATCAAACGTCAAAAGTCTTCATAGTTGAAACAAGCTTCTACTCTTCCACGTAAATGAATTGTCTTAGAATTAATCTACCATGCACAGTTATTGCCACTAATTAAAATTTACTTTGTCTCTCTCACCAATATTTTAATTAGTAGTTTAACTATTCCAGTATTATGACTTTGACGAATACCATAGACGCGAATTCACACAAGACATCATAATTACAAAGTCTAGGCCACATGGGTACAATGTGTAAAGCCCATTTCGGTGTCCCCCGCCGTGATATTGCTGGAATACTGCTAAAATAGACGCAAAACTATACTCACTCACTCACTATATATACAACGTCTAGGGCTACAGAGAATATCGGCGTCAGACCACAAAGCCTGAAACCTCTTTGTGATCACGGCAGGTAAAGATCGGCTGTTAAATATTCGATTGAATCTAGTAGTCACCAATGTGGCCTTTAATCTATTCGATTTACTTATAACAGTGTATTCAGTTTGCGTTTAGAACTACATACTTCAAATGACATTCATCACAAACACACTGAAACTACTTTCAATTTTACATTTCTCACTGGTCATATATAACACGCTTTTGAAACCACCTAAGGGAGACAACTGCAGTGGTATCAATGTCGGTTATTCGCTCTCTGATCCGTAATCTGTATTCACAGAAAACAAACGTATCGATGCATGTCAGAGTTAACAAAGAACGCAAAGGAGAAACTGATAAGAGAGTGTGCTACTAATCTCCACAACACAGGACTAAATATACTCATGTCATGCCAGCTGAAAAATTGAAGTATTCGATTTCAACACTTGGTTATTTGAGATGCCAGAGACCGTCGTGCTTTAAACAGGTAAGCCAGGTTGTGATATAGATTTAAGACATGACATGATAAGAAATATTAGAAAAAGCACCTGCAGGTAATGATGCCGTGCACGGGTATGATTAAATCACGTCAGATGCCCCGCTGATATGTCCATCATTATATATATCACTGAGAATTGTTAAGCAACTTTTAGCATTTCCACACATGCTATATACATGGGAAGTGGAAGGGCATAGTCTTGCTTCGAAAATGAATTCCCGGCAATTCCATCTTTGCAAACGTCATGCCACAGAACTGTTCTGCAGCAGGTAAGACCTTCATATGGTGTTCCGGATTGTGTAGGGAAAACACCATATGAAATATAGTAGCATAGTAATGTCAATGTTTTTCAGCCGATAACAGACGCTGTGTGTGGTATGCAACAAAACATAATAAAAGTAAAACATCTAGATTACAACATTTACTGTAGATTGTGCAAATATTAATGTAATTGGCTAGATGTGTCCATGCATATATATTGACATGTTACAATAAAGGAAAGCTCTTGTTGATGTTTGCTAGTTATATTTCCTATAATTAGAATACATACAAAACAGATTAACGAGGTCAACGTGACCTTTGCTAAGTATAAGAATGTGTGTACACTTAATACGCCTAGTTAATTATTTACGCTCGGCAATTCGCAAGATTAGCTTGTATAGTATTTGTAGTAACTGGATATTAATCAAATACACGTCAATGTTCCATTTGAATTTTTATATAAATGAATATGTTTAAGTCATATAGGCATTTTACTCATACATGTTTATTACAGTAACCTCACTGCCTGTTCGGGGCGGTGGGGTAGCCTAGTGGTTAAAGCGTTGGCTCGTCACGCCGAAGACCCGGGTTCGAATCCCCACATGGGTACAACGTGTGAAGCCCATTTCTGGTGTCCCCCGCCGTGATGTTGCTGGAATATTGCTAAAAGCGGCGTAAAACCAAACTCAGTCAGTCAGTCAGTCACTGCCTGTTCACTCGGTGTGCGTGAATTCACCACTATTTGTTAGTAACAGATAGAATTAAGATATTTCAGTGACTTTTTCAACTTTTGATATTTGACGGTATAGTATTTCGCTTGAGCTAATTTACGAGACAAACTACTGGAATTCCAGGCTGGTTTCCGAAAGAACTATTCAATTACTGACCACATCTTTACATTAATTCAAAAACGGTTCTCATTAAAACAACCCATAAATTATATACTCATGCCAATAATGGTTGTCACCCCCCCTCCCCACCCCAACCACACCTCACACCCCCTCTCCAATTAAAAAAATTGAAGGGGGTGACAACCATTATTGGCATGAGTATATATAGCATTTGTCGATTTCTAAATTATATGTAGCATTTGTAGATTTTAAAAATGCGTTTGACTTTGTTAATCGTTCTAAATTGGGGCAATACATCATAAACAATGGCCTGAGGGGTAAAATGTATAATACCAAGATGGCTATGACCACAAATGTTAAATCAAGTGTTCGCTGTGTATAATGTAACAGATAGTTTGATTGTCCAAATGGACTGCGTCAGGGATGCATGCTTAATCCTATTCTCTTCTCCTTTTTTATTGATGAATTATACTTTGATATTTTTAATTACGGTAAACATGGTGTACTAATGTCCCCTACCTCAATAGAACTTCTAATACAATGGTGTTTTCAAGGAAAAAAAGTTATGAATTCCTACGCGTATCTTGGTTTGGTATTTTCTCAATAAATGTCAAGAATCCACGTTAGATCTGCCTATCAGTACCTGGTAAAAAAACATTAATATTTGCTGATTGTTCTAAACTTGGAAATGTTCCCCCTAATGTCTTTTTAAAACTTTACGATACACAAATACAACCAATTTTGCTCCATGGTTCACAAGTATGGGGATTCCAAAGATATGAATGTTTAGGAACAATGCATATTTTGGCATGTAAAAAATACCTTAGGGTAGGGCCCTCTACGCCGAATTGTAGGGTTTATGGTGAATGTGGCAGATATCCATTATACATAGTTTGACAGCAGCCTGTGAACACGTACTGATTCACTAGTGTTTATTCTAGGCGACGCTTTGTACATAGCATTTTACAGTTTGATCACTCTGTGTAAGTTTATTATTGAACACCCGTGAAGATCCGGGCTAGAGTTGGTCTTCAGTAACCAATGCTTCTCGTAAGAGGTGACTATCGTGAATTGGTTGACACATGCCATCGTATCCCATTTGCGTAGATCGATGCTCGATGCTGTTTGGTCCAGACTCGATTATTTACATACCGCCGCCATATAGCTGGAATATTGCTGAGTGCTGCGTAAAACTAAACTCACTCACTCATCATTGTTAAGCAATGCCCAGGGTGATACAGGTCTCACGAGTTTACCAGCTGATTGAAGATGGCTGCACAGACATAGAGCTGTCCAAGGGAATAATCGGGGTGAACCTGAAACTTGAACATGCCGTTTCGCCAAAAGAGCGCAATAACAATTTGCGACGGTTGGGACACCCGAGAACTCAACTATAGGGTCACAACCAGTGTGATTGTGACCATTTGTCTTGGAGGTGCTAATGCATGGCGTTTCTAGTCCTTGTTGGAAGTGCTAAGTTGTAACCAGTCTTGTGTTATATTTGGTTAAACAAACTGTGCAATGAGTGATGTTTAGAGCTACCTTCGTAGGCATTGTTTCAAATTACTGAACTCGGGTATAACTAACGAAAACTGATGGTCGCTGCCTCAAGACACGGAGCTGAACAAAAGTAGTAAGGAAATTCTGCATGCCCGGCGAACAATTCTTGTAAAGCGGTAGTTTTTCAATATGTTCTGGGCAGGCGGGCACATTCTGTCTTAGCGCGAAGGTGATCGTAATTCTTTAAAAATAGCCTTTAGATACTCGTAGAGCTAAGATCGGACAGTGCAATGGGACCCTTTTCCATTTTCTATCATGAGTGAGTTTAGTTTTACGCCGCACTCAGCGATATTCCAGCTATATGGCGACGGTCTAGAAATAATCTAGCCTGGCCTAGACAATCCAGTGATCAACAGCATGAACATCAATCTACGCAATTGAGATACGATGACATGTGTCAACCAAGTCAGCGAGTCTGCCCACCGGACCTGATCCCGTTAGTCGCCTCTTACGACAATCATGGGTTACTGAAGATCAATTCGGACCCGGACCTTCACGGGTCTTTTCTATCATGAGGTAGAGACAGTTCTTTAATAGTGAGAAAGTAAACCCTTTAGAGAAAAAATCGTAAGGAAACATCGTTTAATGTTAATGTATACGCTGATGAACTGTGTGCGTTACAGCTACGGACATAGTCTGAACTTTAACCTTGATGTCTCTTTCTCTACAGCAAGGACACTTTGGTCAGCGCTATGCCGGAGTGGCTGAGGGAATACGAGAGAGTGGCTGTGAGACAGCAAGAATATCTTCAGAGAATCAAGGACCTGCGCAAAAGCCTCGAAAACAGAGATGAACAGTTTATGATGGTTGCGATAGAGCGCATGCGTACACTTAAGAGGGGGCGTTTCCGTGATCCGAAATACCCAGAAATATCTCAGATGCCACGAAAGATGTACTACATGGGACCGGAAGCATTTCCCCAACGTTCATGTGTCTTGCACGAGCGACAGGGGAGATTTTACATGGCCCCGAATGTTTTGCCACGTAAACTAGCTCCGCTTGTAAAAAACAAACGGCGTTTGGCACCGTTACCACCCTACGGTCCTGTTGACCGGCTTAAGACTGACTATGAACCTATTGAAAGTATTGCTGCTCGGAATAAGATCAATTTACAGCATTACATGAACCAAAGAGACAAAGGTTCCAATGGCCCATCACCACGTCAGCCGTTGTCAATAACAACGGTGACGGTACAGAGTAGTGACGATGAGGGGGATCTCGAGGACGTGTCTATGGAGTATATTACAGACGTCAGTTCTAGGAAGACCATCATTGACCCTCGTAAAGTATAGTTGTGACCGACATCAGGTCAGTCAAGACAGTCGTTTAACCTCGCAGAGGTTTATTGGAGTAAATGAGTAGACTCAAGGCAGACCATCGATGATTCACATAGATCTTCACAGAATACACAACAGACATTGTCCCGTGGAAGATCCGTATACGTCGTCGTGGAGATCATTCCATGGAGTGTGCAGCTGAGATCAGGTCCTTCTTGGATTGGGACATCAGTCTAAGTAAACTTTGGCTCAGTATTATTCGTTACACTGCTATACTGAGTCTAACAAAACCTAGTAGAAGGTTTTTTATAGAGTGGATTATATAACTGACACAATTTCGTGGACTGTATTTTCATAGAGATGACATTCAGTGGAATGTCGCAGCTAACACTTGTACAAGAGTATCCCTCAGCTCAAGGGAGGCCTTCATTAATCATTATGTATCATGTTCATGTATGTCATATTATAGATCTTTTGACAAATGTCACTATAAGTACCGGTGTTCGTCCACGTTGAACAGTCATCTTTGAGAATTTAACCTTCATCATTCCGTTTGAGAGTATCGTTGGTTCCCAAATGGATAATGTTCCTTGCTTATATAATTGTCATTAGTTGTCAATTTGAGGAGTTTACAATTTGGAGCTATCGTCATTTGGGCAAAGATGTTGCTGGTTGAATTGTGTTCGTCGGAAAAAGTTGCACTGCGTCTGTCCAACGGAGTGTATCGTTGAGGCTCACAATGTGACGACTTTTCGTAGGTATGACGGATTTAGTTCACAAAAGACAACGCTGATTGTCGAAGACGTTCCTTGGAGCTAATATACCAGCATTATTTCGTGGAAAGATGACTCTTTCTAGTGTATATAGTACAGGCCATGGCAAGGGAGCGAGCGATCAGTGGTCCAAACAAACTACGTAGCTGAGGTCAGGTCAAGATAAGCTCATTGTTTTACAAGCGAAATACATCAGCAATCACCGCTGACGTTACCATGTCGGTATTTTTGGTTCTGCGCATTGTCAGCAGCAAGCGGTTTTCTGTATCATGATTTCAAAATACCGGTTTTCGATCAGCGTATCGCAATACGTATCGTTTTCATGTCTGAACCGGTAAATACTCGGAAATCTTCGGATATTTCCTTGTTTCATTTCATTCGTCACCACTCGCCCCTTTCCGTAATCCTCAGTCGTTGATGATGGTATTTGTTGTTACCCTTCCTGGTACTACGGGGATAAAGCAATGACTGATGGATTCAAGTTTCTCCTTTGCACTAAACATGAGCTGCACATTAGAGCAGTGTTTTCTCCAACATGTATTTAAGGAATAAAGAAAGAAATCTTAGTGTTTGTGTTTGTTTGATTTAAATTGTTTCCAAAGGGCGACAATGATTTTAACTTACCATCTTCTATTACCAAACATCACGCCAATTCTGACCGATGTGCATTTTGATATTGACATTGTGCAGGGCCAGTGAAGTAAGATGTGAGCTAGCATCATTTTTACTTAACTAGTACAACTGACCAGTGACTTTTCAAAATTCATTCATACACATAATGTACCTAAGCAAAATCAAAATACAGAAAGGTACCATCACCTAAACATCAGACGAGTCCATATTCCGCAACCTAAAACCAAAACCATGAAATTGTTCCCAGTCATCTGACTGTGAGTGGTATTGTGAATAGCGAAATATTCTTTACTGTGTAAGCTCGTTCATTGTGTCGTTGCTTATATATAACGTAATCAAATGTATTTAATAAACAATACGGCAGTTCCGGTCAATGTCCAATGTGGAATTGACTCGTCCTTGGGCCCGTTTCTGTATTTTGATTCTGGTAGGGTACGTTTTTTAGTTTTCTGCATACATCATAAGGTACGCATCTGTATATACTTGCATAAGTCTCTAAGGTAATAATTAATAGTTTAAATGATAATTTCTAAAACAAAATATAAATAACAGACAGGGGTCCTTATACTGTCCGCATATTATACTTGCCTCTTTAAAGGATAGAATTGCTATACATGTTTGGGTTAAGCACTCAGTGTAGCCTTGCACCAAGGCTAGCTGGCGTACTAAATAGACAGTGCCAATGGACACGTTATCTGAATATTTTTTTCACCCGTCCATCTGGCTGGCTAGCTGTAAAATTAGACCGTCCGGCAGAAATCTAGCCCGTCTCGGGCGGTCGGACGGACCATATTTCATACACAAGTCCACATGGGCACAATGTGTTAAGCCCATTTCTCATACGCCGTGATAGTACCCGTAAAACCAAAGGCCCTCGATCGTGTCTTTGCGAGGATCAAAGATTTTATAAAAAATATCTACAAAATTTTGAGATGACCCCCGACTCGAAATGCTTCACAGTATAATACATTATGTATTATAAAATATCTACAAAAAATTGAGATGACCCCCGACTCGAAATGCTTCACAGTATAATACATTATGAAGCATTTTGAGTCGGGGGTCATCTCAAAAACAATATATTTTTAATAATTAATTCTCGCAAAGACACGAGGGCCTGTGGTAGTACCCGTTCCAACAACGACCCCTTCAGCCCAGCTAGGTTGTACGTCTACACACATCCAAGGGGTTCCGTTCTGTATTTTTAGTTTGTTAAGGTAATATTTCTGACAGAAGCTGTCCGTAGTACTCGATCGTGAGGACAAAAGCAATTCTGAGTGAGTATAGTTTTACGCCGCTTTCAGCAATATTCCAGCAATATCGCGGTGGGGGGCACCAGAAATGGACTTCACACATTGTACCCATGTGGGGAATCGAACCCGGGTCTTCGGTGTGAAAAGGCAACGCTTTAACCATTAGGCTAACCCGCCGCCCCTTCAGCCATTCTGAGAGGGATCAGCCTATGTGATGATATGAATACGTCCATTCTCGTCGAAACGGCGCAATGAATAACGTTTAAGAAGTCAGTCAAACAAAACACATTGAAACGATCAACTAAAAATACTCATACACCACGAATCAAGATGATAAAGTTCGTGTGCTGGTGGCGGGTAAATATTGTGCGATAACGCCAATCTCGAGCAGACGACAAATTCTAATCAAGGGAGGTAATTTGACTGTGCATAGTGTATTCTTGCTAAAACCATCTGTGTTGTCCTGACGAAAAGAAGAAAATTATTTCGTGTTACACATCGGTGTAACTCCATACTAAATAACTAGGCACATCTTTCTCTCTGATTTATATCCTGTACATATTTTCAGGTGACATAAAGTAAACTCAAAATTCGTTACAATACTTTTAGTACAACCCATATTACCAACATGGCTGACCGCGAAGTAAAATTCTCGTTCAAACAGCTCAGTGGAAAGCGTTTCGATGTTGTTGACGGAAAAGACAACCAGGATGATTTACTAAAATGGTGCTTACAGTTTCCATTTTCAAATCTACACCATTGTCACGCAAATCATGGCTGTAAACAGTGACAGTTAGATAGTTGCTAAGGACTCCGAGCAGATATGCTCAGTAAAATCGTGAATCACACGTAACTTATTTATATATTTTGTAAGCCCAATACAGGTGCTTGTGATGGACGGACGGTGCCATATGACTTATCAAACAGAATGCAAAATGTAAATGTAAATGGCAACCTTCTTTTTACGCCCAAAAGTTTATGGCGGTTATTTACAAAACAATGCAGACTGACGCTGAAGAGTTACTATACCCCAGGTATATTTCTGTGTACAGAAACGTGCCATAGGGCGAGACCATTCAACAACATTTTCTTGATTGAAACTGTCATACTTATTACATGAGTGAGTGAGTTTAGATTTACGCCACACTCGGCAATATTCCAGCTAGATCTACATGGGGAGTGGTCAGAAAATAATCGAATCAGGACCAGACAATCCAGTGATCAACAGCATGAGCATCAACCATCGCAATTGGGATACGATGACATGTGTCAACCAAGTCAGCGAGCCTGACCATCCGATCCTGTTAGTCGCCTCTTACAACAAGCATGGGTTACTGAAGATCAATTCTAACCCGGATCTTCATGGGTCTTATTACATAAGATGCATTCAGTTGCATTGTTTAAGAAATGGGCTCACACAATTACAAAAACTTTGCAATGCACAATATCACTTGTAATGAGGCAAAACGGGAACTATAACCTGAACTGGTTTCAGTTTTGGTATGAGGAATATGGACCAGGTACGTTTATGTAACCAAAAACGTACATGGGTACATACCTTAGGGCATATGGCAACAACAACCCCTTCAGCCTGAATACCTTCAATATCTGGGTTAGAGTTTGTCTTTAACAACTCATGTTTGTTGTAAGAGATGACTAAGAGGAGCAGGTGGTCATGGCTGCAGCCGTACTGGATGCATGCATGTCATCGTATCCCAATTGTGTAGATCAATGCCATGCTGTTGATCACTGGATTGTCTGGTCCAGACCTGGGATATGGCTGAGAACTGTGTAAACAACAAACAAAACAATTTTATGATTTGTTTTGGCCACTTATATTTTCATCATTATAATTTGATCACAAGATTATGTGGAATTTTTGTATGTAAAAAACATATGTGGATATATAAAATTTTACTAATTAAGGTTGTTTGTGAGTTTGCTTTGATTGAATCACTTGATTGTCTGACCCAGACTGCAGACCACTGTCACATAGCTGGAAAATTGCTGAGTGCAGTGTTAAAGAACAAAAACAAAGGCTCTTCAACTGTCATATGATTATTACTGTTAAAGTGTTATGGGGGCGGTGGGGTAGCCTAATGGTTAAAGCGTTGGCTCGTCACGCCGAAGACCCGGGTTCAAATCCCCACATGGGCACAATGTGTGAAGCCCATTTCTGGTGTCCCCCGCCATGTTGCTGGAATATTGCTAAAAGCTGCGTAAAACCAAACTCAGTCAGTCAGTCAGTTAAAGTGTTATGGTGTCGGCATGCTCTTAATATCAGTCACTGGTTAGTCAGATGCCAGGTCGATTCTTAAATGCCACCATATTAAATGCTTGAATACTGCTGAGAGTAAATACACAAGAAAACATGTCTCTATTACCATGATTACAGAGAAGTGCTAAGAGCAGATGCCAAGTTACAATAGGCCCTAAGGTTGAGCACCCTATCATAAAAGGTGGATCAGGTCGTAGAACTTGTCACATGCTTGACTGTGTGTCATCATCCCATGAAAGCATCGATTGTTGCTCAGAATATCCATCATTGGACTTGAGTAACGTATATCACCATGATTGGATGCGACACATCATATAAACGAGCCCCTCTACAAACCTTCAAAATCTAACCTTGTCTATTAAGCAAGGTGGAATGAAGCACTTCACCGTGGCTTACAGAACCCATCCATACATTTGCAATAAATACTTGTTTTCTGCATTGAATTGTCAAGTGTATACCTCCTGCACAGGTGACCGTCAAAACTAAAATATTGCTCCCAGCTTTGTGAATTGACAAAGGAATTGAGCATATCATGTTACTGTGTTTACAATCTAACAGTCTCTTGTTTAAGGTCAATGAAAGGAAGAATCAAGATACAGATGTACAGCTTTGACCAACCATTTCAAGCTTACCAGAAGGAATGTTTTGTTCGGGTAAGGCCAAATAAAAAGAATGTTGTTGTTCCGATTACACCCCTTTAAAATTCAGGGGAGGCAGTTAGGATTTTTAAAAATTTGTTTTATAAGTCAAGTGCAAACTAATAACACATTTATCAATGTGTAATTGTATATTCAATCAAGCTTGTGGCCATCATGTCAACTTTCATTGTCAGAATGACTGATGTCCGTCGGGCCAGGAAAAAACAATGGTATGATCTGAAAGCTTATTTTATTCATATCTCTTAAAAAAAAACAGGGTCGGCACCAGAATTCAAGGGTTGGTCGGGTAATCGTAACCACAACATTTTTCTTTTTAGACCTTAGCGGGTTTGTCATTTAACTGCAACCGCCCATGATGTCAGTTTGGTACATTTTATAACGTAACAAAGATCCACTGTTTGGAAATCCTTTGCCTGCTTGATTCCATGTGAGACATTACTTTGGAATTTTGTTCATTTTTATTTTGCCGTGGCATTTTGAGGAAGGATTTCCCTTCCTGCTTCATCTTTGAGCAACAGAGTGAGTGAATCAGGTCTCTTGCCATTCTATTTATATCACACTGTGTAAGTTTAATGTTGGAGGTAATCCTGAAGTCATGGAGGTCTCAGATATTGATGTCCGTAATGAAGCAGCAGTATCGTGCTGACAAACCTTGAACTGTATTCAAGGTGAACCCATTCAAATCCATAATTGTAGGTTACTGGAATGTTCAAGGGACACAACTCTACAGCTTATTGTGGAACCTAATATGTGAGGTGAAATTGGGTTTAACGTCGTGCTTGAGAATATTACGCTCATATGACGACGTGCATGTGTGTGTATGTGTATATGCAGCTGCTTGTACTAGCCCAGACTTAAGCTGGTTTTATAGTGCTAGCCCACTGAGATACCATGCCACAGTGAAGCATGAATATCCCACTCAGACACATTATACTGACTCCGAGACGACCAGTCCTTGTTGTACCCATTAATGCCGAGAGCCAGGCAGGGACCAACAAGTACCATATTTTAACGTCTTTTGGTATGACGCGGCCGGGGATCGAACCCGCAACCTTCCGCTCTCCGGACATGGAACCTTAGAACTCTCAGCCACCCTTCATCGAAAAAGTTAGTTACATCAGATTTGTATGATCTGATTTGCTGTCATCAAAAATATGTTTGAATGTGAGACTGCTAATGGCGTTGCATTTTTGTTTTTTTCCTCAGACAATTTTGTGTGATAAATGTCCCTCTGGTGTTATTATTACAGGACTTCATGAATGATCCTGAAGTTTTGTCAACATTACAGACTGTGTCAAGTACCTGTCGCTGGAGCCCTGTGGGTAGGTAATATGCCAGGTCGTGACTGCAAGCTGAAACATATAATGAAGGCAATTGATAATATGCTGAATTGCTATGTACCACGAAATACATATCAGAGTTTAAATGGGACACCCAAGGGAGGAAGGAATACACACAAAGATTTACCCTCCATTTCTAAGAATTTCTAAGGATTTATCTTGGCTGTCTCAGAGGCTGATATTGAGTGAGTGAGTGAGTTTAGTTTTATGTAGACTAACTACTAGTCTCTGAAATGAACATACTTTACTGAAAAAAGTTCATAGTAAAAAAAAATATATTTAATGAAAAGGAGCCCTGAGACTTTATTCATTTTCAGAAGCTGAGGAAATCTAGACTTGCCACATTTTCTAGACTTGCGTGGGCCTTCTTGGATATATTTGCTTCAGGGTCTGTACGACAGACTAAGTTTTATGCTGCACTCAGCAATATTTGAGCTATATGGCAGTGGTTTATATATAATCGAATCTGGACCAGACAATCCAGTGATCAACAGCATGAGCATCAATGTACGTAATTAGGATATGATGTCATGATGTGGCAACCAAGTCAGCGAGCCTGACCACCCAATCCCGTTAGTCGCCTCTTAATACAAGCATGGGTTACTGAAGATCAATTCTAACAGGCGGTTGTGTTGGTTTTACTTGGGAATGAATCCCATTGATCGACTTAAATCTGTATCTTTGCTTTATCAGGTATCCCGGCAAAGTCCGTGAAGGTCAAGTCCATCCCGTGTTCAGTTCTGTCCATGTCATTTTTCGACCGTCTCTATGAGAACAACATTGCTAGAGAAAGCGGACATCTACATAAATGTCTCGATGAATTCTATGAAGATATTACAATCGCAGATGAATTAAGAAAGGTATGCATATCATGGATTCTGTCACAGATCTACTGTGGTCAGTTGTGTGATGATTTTCATTTTTAAACACATATATCTCTGTCTATTAACCTTAATAACACGTTATATTTGGTACTACACTTTCTCAGTAAAGTACAGATTTGAGTCCCATCTAGGATTTGAATTCAAAACCCCAGAGTCCAGGTACCTAACTGCCAGCACACAAAGTCGGCCGTCTAACCCACTCAGCCAGCACCGAATGGAACTAAACCAAACAAAAGTACTAGAATCTGTACTTTACTGAGAAAGTGCAATCCCAAATATACTACCCATCAAAAGTTCAGACTCACTAGTGTAAATGTAGCCACTTACTTCAGTCAACTGTTCTGAACTAAATTTTGCAAAATATTCCATACTGTTTAAGGGCACTGCACTGTTTACACATGAACTGATGTATTGTAAAACAAATTCGTAATGTTGAAAAGATTATTGTCATGAGTTCAATAAAGGATGAAACTCAGTGAAAAAGCGAATTCTTAACAGAACTGTAAACCAAAATGGATCTGTCTGTTGTTTTAATTTCCTGTTTCCAAAGCAGAATTCCTTAGCCGGTGTATATTTCTTGTTGAATCTCATTATGCATATCCACCTAGTGGTAAACATGTTTGCCTTTGACAATTTTGGACTTTTGCATACTTTTTTTGGTTATGATTTTATTGACATATTTGACAATGTACTTATTGTGCGAGGCAATCTTTTCAACTTTTTATACTTTTTAAAGACTTTTTCTGTGACAGTTTCTTTTTTACTTTGAAATCCCTGGTACTGGACCCGAGATTTCTTACAATATCTTACCATATGGTCGCTCTCGAATAGTATGATGCCATCATACTATGCTTTGGGGTGTGCAACATGTATTGTCGCGTGTAAATTTGTGATGCATGATGGGGCACATGTGGGACAGGCTCCAGGTGTGTGTTTATTTGCTGTGTGCTCCAGGCTCCATGTGTGTGTTTATTTGCTGTGTGGGACAGGCTCCAGGTGTGTGTTTATTTGCTGTGTGGGACAGGCTCCAGGTGTGTGTTTATTTGCTGTGTGGGACAGGCTCCAGGTGTGTGTTTATTTGCTGTGTGGGACAGGCTCCAGGTGTGTGTTTATTTTTACAGGCTCCAGGTGTGTGTTTATTTGCTGTGTGCGACAGGCTCCAGGTGTGTGTTTATTTGCTGTGTGCTTACAGGCTCCAGGTGTGTGTTTATTTGCTGTGCGACAGGCTCCAGGTGTGTGTTTATTTGCTGTGTGCGACAGGCTCCAGGTGTGTGTTTATTTGCTGTGTGCGACAGGCTCCAGGTGTGTGTTTATTTGCTATGTGGGACATGCTCCAGGTGTGTGTTTGTTTGCTGTGTGGGACAGACCCCAGGTGTGTGTTTATTTACTATGTGGGACACATCCCAGGTGTGTGTTTATTTGCTGTGTGGGACACATCCCAGGTGTGTGTTTATTTGCTGTGTTGGACACATCCCAGGTGTGTGTTTATTTGCTGTGTTGGACACATCCCAGGTGTGTTTGTTTATATCCTGTGGTAAGTGTCTGTTGTACATGATTTCAGGTATTGTTACTGGAGGATTCTGATAACTACGACGTGTTCAGTGATGCAGATCGGGATGAGTTCCTGTTCCGCCTCTTCAAGCACTTGTGTCTGGGAGGCCAGCTCTGTCAGTACGAGGATGTACTGGACAAATACCTGGAGTTCACCAAGGCTCTCTACAAAGACCTCATCAGGTAGGGTGTCCCTGATACACAGTGGTACACGGTACACGGACACACTGACATAATTATACACTAGTACAGTGGTACACTGATACACTAGTACAATGATACACTGACATAATGATACACTGGTACACTGATACACTGATACACTGGTACACTGGTACACTGATACACTAGTACAATGATACACTGACATAATGATACACTGGTACACTGATACTGATACACTAGTACAATGATACACTGACATAATGATACACTGTTACAGTGGTACACTGATACACTAGTACAATGATACACTGACATAATGATACACTGGTACACTGATACACTGATACACTAGTACAATGATACACTGACATAATGATACTGGTACACTAGTACACTGACACACTGACATAATGATACACTAGTACAATGATACACTGACATAATGATACACTCGTACAGTGATACACTGATACACTAGTACAATGATACACTGACAAAATGATACACTGGTACACTGATACACTAGTACAATGATACACTGACATAATGATACAGTGGTACACTGATACACTAGTACACTGATACACTAGTACACTGATACACTAGTACAATGCTACACTGTTACAGTGGTACACTGATACACTAGTACAATGATACACTGACAAAATGATACACTGATACAATAGTACAATGATACACTGGTACAGTGGTACACTGATACACTAGTACAATGACACACTGACATAATGATACAGTGATACACTGATACACTAGTACAATGATACACTGACATAATGGTACATTGGTACAGTGATACACTGGTACAATGATAAACTGGTACAGTGATATACTAGTACACTGGTACAATGATACACGGGTACAGTGATACACTGATACACTAGTACAATGATACACTGACATAATGATACACTGGTACAGTGATACACTGATACACTAGTACAATGATACACTGACAAAATGATACACTGATACACTAGTACAATGATACACTGACATAATGATAGACTGGTACAGTGATACACTAGTACAATGATACACTGGCAATGATACACTGGTACAGTGGTACACTGATACACTAGTACAATGATACACTGACATAATGATACACTGGTACAGTGATACACCAGTACAATGATACACTGACATAATGATACACTGGTACAGTGATACACTGATACACTAGTACAATGATACACTGACATAATGATACACTGGTACCGTGATACACTGGTACAATGATACACTGGTACAGTGATACACTGATATACTAGTACACTGATACACTGGTACAATGATACACGGGTACAGTGATACAATGATACACTGACATAATGATACACTGATACACTAGTACAATGATACACTGGCAATGATACACTGGTACAGTGATACACTGATACACTAGTACAATGATACACTGACAAAATGATACACTGATACACTAGTACAATGATACACTGGCAATGATACACTGGTACACTGATACACTAGTACAATGATACACTGACATAGTGAACACTGGTACAGTGATACACTGATACACTTGTACACTGATACACTGGTACAATGATACACGGGTACAGTGATACACTGATACAGTGATACACTGGTACAGTGATACACTGACATAATGATACACTGGTACAGTGATACACTGATACACTAGTACAATGATACACTGACATAATGATACACTGGTACCGTGATACACTGGTACAATGATACACGGGTACAGTGATACACTGATACACTAGTACAATGATACACTGACATAATGATACGCTGGTACAGTGATACACTGATACATTAGTACAATGATACACTGACATAGTGAACACTGGTACAGTGATACACTGATACACTTGTACAATGATACACTGACATAATGATACACTGGTACAGTGATACACTGATACACTTGTACAATGATACGCTGACATAATGGTACACTGGTACAGTGATACACTGGTACAATGATACACTGGTACAGTGATACACTGATATACTAGTACAATGATACACTGACATAATGATACACGGGTACAGTGATACACTGATACACTAGTACAATGATACACTGACATAATGATACACTGGTACAGTGATACACTGATACACTAGTACAATGATACACTGACATAATGATACACTGATACACTAGTACAATGATACACTGACATAATGATACACTGGTACACACTGATACACTTGTACAATGACACACAGACATAATGATACACTGGTACAGTGATACACTGATACACTAGTACAATGACACACTGACATAATGATACACTGGTACAGTGATACACTGATACACTTGTACAATGACACACTGACATAATGATACACTGGTACAGTGATACACTAGTACAATGACACACTGACATAATGATACACTGGTACACTAGTACAATGATACACTGGCAATGATACACTGGTACAGTGATACACTAGTACAATGATACACTGACATAATGATACACTGGTACAGTGATACACTGATACACCAGTACAATGATACACTGACATAATGATACACTGGTACAGTGATACACTGATACACTAGTACAATGATACACTGGACAGTGATACACTGATACACTAGTACAATGACACACTGACATAATGATACACTGGTACAGTGATACACTGATACACTAGTACAATGATACACTGGTACAGTGATACACTGATACACTAGTACAATGATACACTGACATAATGATACACTGGTACAGTGATACACTGACATAATGATACACTGGTACAGTGATACACTAGTCCAATGACACACTGACATAATGATACACTGGTACAGTGATACACTGATACACTAGCACAATGATACACTGGTACAGTGATACACTGATACACTGGTACAGTGATACACTGACATAATGATACACTGGTACAGAGATACACTGATAAACTTGTACAATGATACACTAGCAAGATAATTCAATGATACTCTGACACACTGGTACACTGATACATTTATGGACTGATATATTTCTCTCTCCACCAGGCCCTGTTTTCAGTTGACACTATTCACATTGTAGATTTGAGTTGCTTCTATATGCTATATCTCTGTTAAAGCTATCTATCTCTTCTACTATCTTACAGTGTTGCATGTGTTTATGTTGAATTTTGAAATTCTAAAGCAGAGGGCAATAAAAGATGGGGATACTTTTAACTGATCCCATTAATTTCTTGCGATTAATTATGTTTAAATCAATGACTTTTCATTTTGTCTGTGAAGCCAAGGGACGTAACTCTTGGTGGATTATTCTCTGATCCTCTGGCTGTTCTGAACAGCTGTCTACAGATCCTGACTTTGTGTGCTGTAGTCATATTTGTTCTATTTGGATCAATCTGCGTTGTGTTGCAGTGTTCAGAAGAACCCTGAAACCAAGGAGCTCAGCATCGTGTCCAGTGTCTTCTCTGTACAGGCAGAGGTAAGTCATTTTCTTTGTGACAGCTCAGTAGAATCATGAGATAAGTAGCAGTGTACCATACAAGCATGTTTATTGTAATATCCTTCAAAGCAACCAGTAAACTGTCAGAGACCTTACGTGAACGAGAGACGGCCTACTGTCTTTTGTTCTCGAGATGGGTGCGCTCTGTGATACTGAGTGAAGCACATGACCCTAATTAATTCAATCACTGTGGAACTCGATTAGGTGGTAACACGGCGCCAGGTGGTTAAGCATCCCCTAAAATCCCCAACCATGGTGGTTACTTGACTGTCTTCTTGCACTCTGTCATCAGGTGTGTGAAAACTAATACAATAGACAGCTTTCTTGATCTCGGATTGCACACTTTCGTCATATGCTCTGAAGAGACTATGAAGGATGAACCTTGTAAACTGCAAGTCATAAAGTTTATCATTTAATTCTGTCCAACATTAGTTTGATCACTCGATCAATGTTTTGTCGGACAAAATCATCCAACAACGCGAACAAGATCTGTAGGCCTGACCGAGAGATACATGTCATTATTGTAGGCCCTCATCATTGCTCTTGGCGACCCAGGTTGTCGTGTGCTGGTTTTGTCATTACAGCTTCAAAATGTTGCCTGTTCACCTCACTAATTTTCACGTGTTTGTACTCATGAATGTAATTCATGCTAACGTCAAAGTTGGTTTTGGTAAACACCATTGGCAGATCCAGAGGGGAACACACTACACCCCACTTTTTCTCCTGAAAGTTTATTAAATGACCATTGAAACTCACGTGAAAATGAAGTGTGCAGCCCCACTTCTCAAGAGGGTGCATAAAAGCGGATTCCTTTTCAATGGTCTTGTTTTCAGGGATTTGTAATATGGCATATACAAAACCATAGCTTCAGATAAAACCATGATGTCATGTATTGACATAAGCTGTATACTTGAGGATAAATCTAAGTGTCTGATCGGTGTCTAAATGTCAACTTCTTATAGGATCTTAATAGGTTTTAACTACATTGTACCTGCTTCTGATCAGGGTCTAAATATTGGCTTCTGAATGGATCAAGATCTGAATAGAATATAATATAACTTCTTTTGATCAGTGTCTAAATATCAGCTTTTGATCTAACTATAGTCCTTTTGGCTCAAAAGCGGACCGATGAATGCAATCTAACTCGAAAACTAATAAACATTTAATACTCATTAAAATTTTGACACAGTTCACTATTTGTTACGAGGGAGGAGTGCATAGAGAGGAACAGCCAGGTGTATGAGAAACACATGCACAGGTGCCGACAAAGTTATTTATTCATTTACTTGTGCTGTGCTGTCTCCATCCTTTCTCGCACACCTGGCTGTTTCTCTCTTTGCACTCCTCCCTCGTAACAAATAGTGAACTGTGTCAACATTTTAATGATAGTTTGTTAAACAACTTTTATTACTTTTAGGACATAAATTCTGCGAAAAACTCAGAGTTGGTCTGATGTTTTGATTATGATCAGTGTTTCATTAAGTATTAAATGTTTATTAGTTTTCGAGTTAGATTGCAATTCATTGGTCCACTTTTGAGCCAAACAGGCTATACTTGGTTTTTATCATGTTGCAATCAATCCTGTGATGTTTTAAGGGAGGCTACTCTGACAAGCCCAGATGGCTAGCCGTGAGGCGATGCAGTGTGTTGGTTGACTAATACCATAATGTCAAGGTTGTACACTCTGAAGATTTTGTCACAGAATGATTGTGATTAGAGCCTAGTGTGAAACTGACATCATCTCTGCGTCATTGGCTGACATCAGTCATAACATGAAACTGACAAGCAATAAATTGATATCTACATGATTTGATTCAAACCTCTTACAAGTGCCAAGTCTCCTAATCACCTCTTAGGGCAGAACTGGGGTTAAAAAATAGGGTTTGGGAGTTTGATATTATATAAGATATTCATTTTTCAGTGTCATTAATTCAAATATCTTTTCCAACATGCACAGGATCTCAATATTTATTTTGATAATTTGTTTCCAAAATAACATACTGTATTTTGTAGTAAATGGAGTAAAAGGGCATATTAATTTTAATATCCCCAAGCTAAAAAGGTTGGGTGGTACTTTGTTATACTAAGGACTTCTGTCACACCGTCCAAAGACATTTTTCTTCAACCCATAACTTGAACTTCTTTAAGTGGTATTTAGAAGCTGGTATGATGAACAGGAACACCTTTTATGCATAGACATCCTCATTATTGCAATAGATGCAGCGTTCTTAATAAGTTGAAAAATATTGGTTGTATTGTTTTCAAATTTAGGGACTACCTTCTTCGTCCAAAGGAGAGATGCAGTGGAAATGTTGATTATGATGTATATTTCTTCAAGAACTACAACAAATTACAAATTTTAACTCAAATGTTTTCAAATTTGGAATACAGTTTCTATGTCTGAAGGAGAGTGCAGTGCAAAGAGTGGTTCTGATTTTGTTATTTTAAGTACAGTAGTTGCATTCCACAAGAAATGAATTGCTTCATTAGATGCATGCTTCGTATTCTCCAAAACAGGTCTTGTTTCTCCAGGAATCAGAATATGAACCAAATTATGCTGCATGGTTGATGTTTCAGAAAACTGCTGGCCTTGAATCAGAATCAGATGATTACTATCAAATGCTTTAACTACTAGGCTACCCAACCTCTTATAACTGTCACATCCAGGTTAGAATTGATCTTCAGCAACCCATGCTTGTTGTAAGAGACCACTAACGGGATCGGGTGGTCAGACTCACTGACTTTGTTGACACATGTCATCGGTTCCCAATTGCGTAGATTGGTGCTCATGCTGTTGATCACTGGATTGTCTGGTCCAGACTCGATAACTTACAGACCGCCGCCGTATAGCTGGAATATTGCTGAGTTCGGCGTAAAACTAAACTCACTCACTCATGATAGAAAATGGAAAAGGGTCCCATTGCACTATCCGATCTTAGCTCTGCGAGTATCTAAAGGCGTAAGTGCGGCGCAAAACTAAACTCAGTCACTCACAACAGTTCAGTAATACTGTCCTAATGATTATCAAATCATCTTATCGCAATTGTATGATTGATGCTCATGATGTTGATCACTGGATTGTCTGGTCCCGGCTATTTATTTACGGACCTCCACCACATAGCTGGAATATTGCTGAGTGTGGGGTTAAACAACAAGCAAACCTTGGTAGTGAGGAGAGACAACTTCTTGCCAACCAGAAACCAGTGGCATTGAAGAATTATCACAGGGTTATGTTACTGTTGGTTGGACTGTGAATTATGTAAATTCCAAATGTTAGGGAAACAACTATCAGTTAAGGTTAAAGGGACTGCACCTTTTCCCAAGTGCAGAGCGCCACTGAGCATCTGTACAGTGGATATTAGGTGCTTTACAAATGTATTATTATTATTATTATTTTCGATGCTCATGATGTTGATCACTGGATTGTCTGGTCCAGACTTGATTATTTTCAGACCACTACCTTATGGCTGGAATATTGCTGAGTGCAGCGTAAACCAGACTCACTCACTCACTAATATGGGCATGAGGACCAGGGCCCGTTTCACAAAGCTCTCGTAGGCCTAAGATCTCGTAACTTTTCTCGTAGCATTCGTACCTCCAATGTTACAGTATAGCAGGTACCAATGCTACGAGAAAAGTTACGAGATCTTAGGCCTACGAGAGCTTTGTGAAACAGGGCCCAGGATTTTTAATCTGAATTCATCTCAGCTGTATATTTATAATTGGAGTCACTCAGTTATCAGCTTATTTTTTTGCCATAATAACTGTCAGATTAAATGCTGATATTATTCAGGTTAATGTTCTGCATATAGGTGTCAGTGATGTATATCTGGGTAATCAGATTGTAGTGATGGATCGGCTGATATCAGGGGTTGTGATCAACTGACAGATCAGATTGGGCTGTGATCAACTGATCAGATGACCATAGATCAGATCACCCCTGGTACAACTATAGGGTTTCTGATGACAATCTGTGTGATATTGATCTGCTGAACCAGCCTCAGCCTGCTCGACGTGCTGCACGAAGTGATCTCACCTTTAAGGTAGTCCTAGCCCACCCTCTCTATTGTAACTGCCCATGTGCTGTTAACACTGAACTTGATTTGTGCACGTGGGCAGTTTCTGTGGGAGGGAATCGTGGCTTATTTACTTCTCGGAACTCGCTCGGAGTGATGGTAATGTTTCATCAGATTGTTGAACATAATTCCTCCAAGGATATCATGGGATAGGCGAGATGGTCTTAGTGGTTAAAGTGTCTCTTGTCATGCATAAGACCCGGGTTTGATGAGTAAAAATATTTCTGGTGCCCCAGAACTCGCTCGGAGTGATGGTAATGTTTCATAAGATTGTAGGTTTCAACCTGGTTTCCATGTTTTCGTTTTTATTGTAGGTTTCAACCTGGTTTCCGTGGTTTTCGCTTATTGTAGGTTTAAACCTGGTTTCCATGTTTTAGTTTTGTTGTAGGTTTCAACCTGGTTTACATGTTTTAGTTAGTTGTAGGTTTCAAACCTAGTTTCCAAGTTATAACCTAGTTTCCATTAAAACTGAAACTACATTTTGCAACCAGTATCTGGATAGTATCCATGTCGGGACTTTGCCCACTGGTTCATGGAGGCTCCTGCTGGTGCTTAGTTTATTGTTGTTTCCAACCTAGCTCCCAGCTTATAACCTGGTTTCCATGAAACTGAATCTGTTGTGCTGGACCCTTACCCGCACCTCCAGAAAAGAGGTTGTGTTTCATGCAACACACATACCAAATCAGGTATTTTATACAATTGCACAATGGTAAAACCATCAGGATGACAAATAACAGAATAAAACACATGATAAAAGTCATGATAGCTTTATTTACATTCAACAATTTGCTGATAAACAGCTGATATTTGGAATGTTCACATTAATAAAAACTGAATTTTCAAAATGCATAAATAATAAAAAGCAATAAGGGAATAAATAGCAGTGAGTATGGGATGTTTTCT